GGCCTAAAGCCTATGCATCCCCATGTCTATGAGTCTATGGCCCCCTATGACCGCTTCAGACGACACCCCCAATTTTTGGAAACCCCTATGTTGGCCCCGGTCCCTACCCAGCAGGCCCACCAGAGACTGGAGGACCGTCGCGGCGAAGAGGCTCTCACCCCAGCATTGATTCGGATTAGGTATTAGAATTTACGCTTTAGGATTTAAGGTTCAGGAATTTCTGGACTCGGGTTTGGGGATTACGCGTAGGGGTTCGGAATTTTACGTTGAGGGCTTACTATTTGGGATTACTCTTGAAGAACTGGATTCAGGATTTCAAGCTTAGGATTTGGGATTTAGGGTTAAGGATGTGCATGGAGGGTCAGGCGGACTTACACTTGTAAACCATATGATAACCCCAGCTCTCCCCATCATGAACCTACTGAACCGTTCCGCGAACCCTCCAAACAGCTGGTATGACAGACATGTTCAATTCCATTTTGCATTTCCTCGTGCATTTGATCTTCCACGACCCCTGAACCTAATGTGTTTTGTAGGTGTGTGTGTATATATATATATATACATACCCTGTCCATACGCCCCTATATAGCCCTTATATACCACTATGTATGTGTATACATATGTGTACGTATGTATGTCCCTATAAGACCCTTATAAAGTCCCTATGTATCCCTATAACCCCTTGAAGGGGGAATCTCGAGTTTACTGCTTTTCTCGGGTTGATCAACGTCGGGTTTGGGGGGCTGAGGCTTGCCAGGATTGATATGGGTGTAGGGTTTAGGGTTTAGGGTGGGGTTTCTAGAGATTATGGGGGTCCCAGCAAAGGGGGTTAGAAGATCATATAAGCATATGTAGGGATCTTTAGGGTTTTAGGGTTTCCGAAAATTGTTGTCCCCTGTTTGGCAGTGACTAGAACGAGGAACATTGCAGGTTAGGTCTACATTATGGCCATGCAATCATGTAAATCCCCATATCTCGGGAGTTGGAAAGAGACAATGTATGGGGCCATGACCCTAGGATCCTCTAGGATCCCTGCGGAATTCCCATAGCATTCCACCTGTTTGCACGTAACTTTCAATGACGAAGCCTGTTGAGAGGTGAAGTTCTCCGACCAGCCGGAGGCCACTCTGAGTGGTTAGGTTTGAATGAAGACACGGAAAAGATGTATAGTACCAGATGTTGCTGAGCATTTGCGGTGGCTTGTCAGGAATGAAGGAATGGGATACAAGGATGATTATTATTCGGAGATTTATCAGGGCTACAATGAGGATACCTCCCTCCATGCCCTACTAGCTGGCGACCACGAAGTTTCGGCTACATGGAAATACTTCTCAGAATTTCATCTTGAGCCTAGCAAACAGGTGCGTGAACTGATGCCTCTAAATCCTAAACCCCACATGGTGGTTTCAAGAATTGGGGACGCCCGTGGACCCCAAAATACCATAATCCTGATTTAGGGGCCATCAAACAGAGACCCCGAAAGGTCCTGAACTCCAAGCACAATTAATTCGCTCACCAGTGCCAGAGAAGACCCACCCCCAGGAGCAAGGTTTGCATTTTAAGGGTTGGCGGGGGGGGGGCAGGACAACTTAAGAAATGCACGTTGCAATTGCAATACTGCAGCAACCTTATCATCATGTTTTCATAGTAGGTTCTCTGAACACTTTGTAACCGGAGTTCCCTCAAGAGAATTCCTAACCCTCAGCACTAACCCCACAGTCCATCGAAGAGAATACCAGACTTCCACACCCTAAACAACTTGGTGCACTTAATAAGTAGGCTACAACAGCGGAGCTAGCCGGGCTAATTAGCTGGCTGATTGGAGTTGTAAGCCTACGAGCTCAATCTCCGAGTATAACCCCACGGTCCGACAGGAGAAGATTCCAAACCCTAACTAATCCCAACCCCACAGTCCTTCAAATGAGCTATAGTCTAAACTCCTTAAAGGGGGGTTATATAGGGGAGTTTATAGGGGATACTATAAGGGTTTTTAAGGAGGATACTAGGAGTTTAGACAATGGCTCAAATAAGATTGTTGATCTGAAGGTCCCAGGGGTCAAGGAGGACATTGTCATCAGGCTGTGGAGACGACTTCCCGAGGCCTTTTGGCATTTACTTCGAGGTTCAGCGTAGTTATAGCTAGTACCATCTGGTACCTATAGTCCCCCTAAGTAGATAGAATAGGGCTTTGGGTACATAATAAGATCCCCATATACCCCATGTTCTATCTACTTAACGGGGACCATATATCCCAAGTAGTTACGAAGTAGTTGACTCAGGGGGCTTATAGCCGTGTTGTAAGTACAGCTTGAACTAGGTTACCTCCAAGTAGGGCATAGGGTCAAGGGCTCATGGTTTGGGGGTAGAGGAGTTGGGGTCACGTTTGGGCTGAAGTATGGTTTTTTGGGGGTACTATGGAGGCTAAAGAAGGTCTGCGAGGGATCCATTCTCATTCCGTGCCAGTCAGGGGCAACTCTGGGGCTCTTGATAGTATCTAGGGTTTTGGGGTTTGAGTCATGCTGTAGATACAAAAAAGCTACACGGGACTGCATACCCTATGGCTTAGGAAGCACCTGTATATAAAGGAGAAGTTGAGGCAGGACCTCTTCAAAAGCGGCAACAGTAATTCTGGCGAATGCTCCCCCCCTTACGTCTGACAAAAGGCCATACTTCCAACCCTAGCTCTCAGATCCGACATACAGAAACTCCAGCACTCCTCGCCAGCTTGGGGCACATTGGGTGTCGAGTTAGGATATATAAGGGGGTTCTGCTGTCCTCCGCTACTTAAGAGCAACACTGATCCCACAGCTAAAACAGGAGAAACTCAACCTAGCGGCAAGGGGGTCCACACGAAAATTCACTCAACTTCATGGAGTCAAGAGAGAGGGCAAAATCCTATGTAGCGAGGGACGGTACAGGTTTCCTGAAGGCGCTTTAGCAACCATTCTGCGAAACGGGATCAGCACAGGGCGTACAGGCGGTGCAACTGATGAATTTCAATTTGCCTTGGTGTTTCCACCGTGTCAAAGCCCTACAAGGGCCACCAGGTCTAAGATTGGTGGTGTTCTTGAAGGGAAGGAGGCACCCAAAAAGTACATTCTATCATGTATGCAATAGTCTAAACCCCTTAAAGGGGGTTATATAGGGGATTGTATAAGGAAATACTATAGGGGTTAGGAGTTTAGACTATGGCTCATGTGATAAATCCGGAACTTATCAAAACCTGCAGAACAAGAAAACACGCTTGACTGGCCCCCTGGCAGCCAAGGAGCATCACCCTGGCTTGCCCAACTAGGTGTATACGGGGGATACATAGGGAGATATGGGAGATATGTAGGGCTAGGTAGGGATGATGGATATGAAAACGGATGCTACTATTCGGGGTTTAGGGATACTACCCCAGTAGTCGAGCATGGAATGGAAAATGAGATGGATGCTACTATGTGTAAGGTTATGCAGGGATTCTATGAAGCTTTTCTAACTGAACCCCAACCCCCCGAACCTTGCTACCCAAATCTGAAACCCTATATTGTAAAACCTTCAAACAATACTTGGAAGGTCAGGTGGGCTTTTAGTGAGTATACTTATAACCCCTATAAGCCATAGGGTAGCCTCAGTTATCCCCATTGTTAACCTACTTACTCGCTTCCCTTGACCCCCCCTAAACCCTAAACCAACCATGCCAGACGCCTTTGCCCAACCTCTACTGGGTGGGCGGCATTCTCACAGCCATCTGGGCGTACTCCCCGGGCAGAGGGTTTGGGAGGGTCCGGGGTGAACACTTTCGGTTGAGGAAGCCAAGAAGAATTGGGTCGTTCTTGGATGAGCATTCCATTTTTGGTATGCTGATTCAGAATGAGGAATAGGGGCAACGTTTTCAAGAGTATCCTAACAAGGATCCAGTGGAAGTGATAGCAAGATAAGTGCCAGTGATACCCATGATGGTGATGACCATTTATTGTCATTGTGGCGAAGTAAGGCGTAGCGGCGCTTCGAATCATCTTTCCCAAGCCTTGACCTCACATGAAGAGTCAGCGGGTATTAGTAAGTATGTTAGTAAAGGGGGTAATTTTCGCTTAAGATATGACTTATAGTAGGGGTTGTAAGTATACCTTCTAAGTCGCCCAGGCCCTCCAAGAAACGGTCTAGGAACTTGGAGTTGACGCTTACAGTGTCAGAGAGCCTTGTTTTTTGGCCCTCAGTTTCAAAGAACAGTTAAGATGATGTTTGTAGGAGGTAGGCCAAATTATGTGGGATGCCTTGGACTTGGGGTTGCTATGCATTCTAGAATGGGCGGCCGCGGACCCACGCGCGTTTAAGTGTTGGGTCCATCACAGACTTCCTTCTTGGAGTCTTAACTTACTGGTGCTGAAGCCGGAGTGGGACGAGCCGAGTGAACATATACATATATGTATATAGTTTAGGGCTTAGGGTTTAGGGCTCTGGGTAAGAATGGAAAGGAAAATGGAAACTACTATATTATTTAGAAGTATGACTGTTCCGCATGAAGTTGCTGAGTAACAGCTGGAATTGTGCGTTCTGTGACAGGGTCTTCAGTGTCAGCTAGCTAGCCAACATTCGCTATTCACTGGAGACCATTAGCGCTTTTCGGTTGTATAAGGCAGCATTCTGTTGAAATAGTCTAAGTTTTTTTGTGGGCGCGGGAATTCAAGCAGGCGGCTGGGCTAAAACGACCTGATCAAGGTATCCTAGCTTGTTCTAAGTTCCTTACACTTGCTGTTGCCATGTTGGTTGCGGCATCGCGCGAAGGCAAATATCAAAGCTTGCATGGAATCTGGTGGTTTTACGATTTAAGTTTGCCATGCCGCAACACCGTAAGGCCTTCAAGCTACCCTAACATAACGGTGGTCCGTACCGCAAAAAGTGGACCCTAATTCTGGAAACACAAATCCCCAGCCTGAACCCAACCCCCTGGACCTGCCAAAGCCTGCGAAGCCCCCAAGACTGTATCTATATGCCGTCAGCTGCGCAGGTACAGAATGTGGGGCGCTTTCACGCGCCTGATGATCATCAGGCCCTACTTTTCTTTGGGTTGGTTAGTCGTGGGGGCTAGTGCTGAGGAGTTGAGGATTTGGGGAACTCAGGCTTTTGGAATCTTACGGGATTCAAAATTAATTTGGGTGAGGGTAGGTAGGGATCCTACAATAAGAGCCGGCACTAAGGTTCGGTGTGCCAAGGTTACGTTGAGAACACAATCTGCGAGCCCATCTCCGCACTTGCCATTGCATGTCACATGGCTCTCACTAATCCTCAAGACCCCCTAGACTCCAAGCTTATGAGCCTGGCGTGAGTCCTTCTAAGCGCAAACTCTGTATCACATACGCAGTCATACGCATCCTAGCGGCAGCCAACCTCAGCTGCTCGCTACACATACGAGTAGTTGTCGTAGTAGTCGTCATCGTAGCATTGTAAATACCACTATCAATTGTTGTCATTATTAGGGCCTAAACCCTGCACTCTTAAATTGAGACCCATTACATAGGCGCACTATATGGATTTCCCTCAAGGCGTTCCCTCAAGGCGTTCTTGACCTATAGGGTGTTGTTACTGGAGGTTTCTCGCACCGAGCGCTCTCCCCTAGAGCGCTAGTGCAGGGAAACCTCGCGCTAAAGGTTTTTTAGTGCAATGCACTAGGGTTCTATTGAGGGCACAAAGGAATATAGTCACTTGTCTAGTAGGTAACCGTTAGCTGTTTCAGAGCTTGGGTGCCCCATGCAAACATGCCATGGGCATTTCCACAAACACGGGCGCGCTTTCACTCTCCCAGGCGATGTAAATCTGATGCAGACCAATGCTAAGCTTGCAAAAGCCTCAGATGCTGGATGCCTTGGAGACCTCCGCCTCCCCCAAACTAAACCCCAATTCATGTCTAATTAGAGTCTACTAGGGCCGGGGTGGTAAGGAGGTGTAGAAATCATCTCAAAGATTGCATCAGGTACGCAGATGTGAACTACCAACTGCGGCGTCCCGACGTGTTGGCCAACAAGGCCTGCCGAACTTTCATCAACCGCCTCGATTTTCTGGGTTGAGGTTAAGGAACTTGATTTCAGCTACCATTCTTAACGAAACTGTGTCCTTTACTATACATCCCTTTTACAGTAAGTTAAGGAAGGTAAGTTAATGAAATTCTGCAACAGCAGCCCAGGACCCTCAGGAAGGGGCCCTGGTATTGTTTAAGGTTTGGGGTTTAAAGTTTAGGCTTTGTGAGAACTACCCGTACATGTAAGTACAGATATTTCTGTATGCTGGTGGGAATAGGTATGTCATGTAGGGATCCCTGCTGAAAGCCCTTGACTGAAGATCAGGCATCTGAGAGTTCTTGAAACGATGGTTCCTAAACCCTAAGCCCTAAGCCCTAAACCCTATATCCTAAACCCGAAGCCCTAAATCCTAAACCCCTAAACCTCTAAACCCTATATACCCTATATCCTAAACCCCTTAACCCTATATCCTAAACTCTAAACCCACCTGTCATCCTCAAGGGTGCGCATTTTTCAATAGCCTTTATAATTGGTGAACCAGGCCCAGCTGAAGCATACGCGGGAACCAGGTTTAGGGCTCGGAGTGCAGAATGCTTATCATATTTAGGGTTAACAGTTTGGGGTTTACGGTTCAGAGTTCATATGTAGGGCTCAGGGTTTAGGCCTAATGGATCCCCCTGAAATTTTGGGGTATGCGGCTTCAGCCTAGCGACAGTTTATCGGCATTTCAGCGGAGCTCATTGCAACAACATGCAGAAACAACAAGTGTAAGACTCTTCACGACAACCCCTATAACATGATGAGACCTACAAAGAGTCTATTCAATTGTGTAGACTTGTTTTTGCATAGCGTGGAGCTGAAGCTGTCCATGTTCTTGTGATGAGACGAAGCGTTAGGATGGGTAGGCCTTTGGGTTCCTTACATATTTTCCCTTATTGGTTTTATAGGGATCCATCTATACTAATATTTTTCAGGGGTCTCTAAAGGCCAACCAAGTTAGGATGGCTTGCATGCTGGGGTAGATCAGGGTGTGGGAGGCCTCAGCGGGAATCCATCAGAGTCTGTGCCTGACATGGAATGAGTGCTTATGTCACCCACAAGCTTCCAGGTTCCAGATTGTGCGGCCATCCCATAATGCCCATCTAACCCCCCACCTAAAAAAATAGCTTGCCTGTAATCAAATGTTGTCTGTTAGGCCTAGCAACTCAGGATGGTGTCTTGAGGTATTTCTTCACATAACTGTGCAAGAGACATGGAGGAATGCTCTTTTTGAGGAGGGCTACGTCAACCCCAAGACCAAAAGTCCTTCAACCTCTAAATCCCTTAAACCTCAAACCTCAGTTACCATATGCCTGAAGCAGACATCTTAAAACCCTACGACCCTAAACCGCAAGCCCTGAGCATACTACAGTCCCCAGTGCTGGCTCACAGGTGGTGGCCTTGCGATTTTTAGCGCTGCCTTTGCTCTTTGTGCCGGGCGTTGCCATTGGAATTGGCGGGCGCGGCATCCTAGACGCCATGCTTGCTGGGGCAGCGGTAGGCTTTAATTCAACCACAGACGAATACAGTCTCCAAGTCCGCAATGCACAAAAGGTTTAGATTGAGAGTGGCGACATAGCTATTCAAGACCAAACTCTGTCCAGGCAGGTTGCCACATGAGCCGCGAAATTTGACTGCACCTGTTGCACCTTTGAGCAGTTTAGATAATGTCTCATGTGAGGTTGCCTCTTGGTTTGGGGGAGTGTACAAGGTTGTAATTGCCCACGCGGTTTAGGATTTAGGGTTGTAGCCTTCAAGAGCTGTGTGGCTTCAGGGCTAAAGGGTTGAGGACAATTTAATATAGAGGGGGGTAGTAGAGGGGCCAATCATAGAAAGGGTGTACAGGGTTGAAGGCTATGGCTTCGGCTTGACACACGCAGATGGCTGTCGAGTCTTTTATTTTTTGCGATATTTGTTGAACATCTTTGTGATCTTCTACCATAAGGAGGATTTCTTCAAGCACCTCTACTCTGTGGCCGCAAGAGGCGGAATACATGCAAGATAGGGAACCGCCATGTATAACGAGGTCATATCTTGATAGTCTCTTGAAACTACCACTATCCTTAAAACTAGTGTTTTGTAGTATACCCGTCATAAATGGAGTGTGGCATAAATGCTCTCAGCTCTCTTGGATGGTTGGTCTTTGTGTCATTATGTGAATTGCATCATGCCCTGTTGACCCGCGTTAAAAATCTTGAAACCAATTTGACTCCAGTGAGTGCTCCTTAGCCCCTTCAGAGACTTCATGTTTTCAGAACCCCCAAGTAGCAGCAGTGCTTGTTGTTGCCGCTGTTGCAGTGATTAGTCATCGCTGTATCAGCCCCGATTCCGAGCCAACTAGTAATAGATCATCATTACCCATTGAGAGCTGTAATCACCGTGAATACAGCAGCAATGGTTGGTCGTTGGGGTGTGCATCCTCCGAATGGGGAAGCCCCCAAAGCCATGCCAATTAGAACAGACGATTGTGCATACCATGCCATAGCTATGTGAGCAGTATACAGGCATTTCTTCCGGCTTCTACACTCGGTGACTAGCATGCCTATGGGTTTGGCGGTTTGAGTGAGTGACAGGGATAGTGGTAGGAATACTTCCCCCCCCCCCGCGGAGAATAGAAATCCGCGAAGCGACAAATTGAATACCAATGAAGTAGCACAAAGACTACTAGATTGAGTTATGTAACCCCGACCCCGAAAATTAGGACACCGCTTAAGATCCCATTTTCCCAAGCAGACCCCTACATCCCAAAAGAACAGGCTGTTATTGTAGCATGCTTTAAAACACGTCATGGTCAACTTCTATCGTTGTGGCTGTGTGGGGCGCTAAGGTCCTTCAAAACTTCGGGTCTGCACACAGGCTAGCCAGTTTGGGTTCTGCGCTCAAAAAGAAATAGGGCATTTCTGCAAGGCTGGCCATTCTGCTGGGCGGCGAGAACGCAGAGGACCTTTGGAAATCACCGGCAGTCGATGTTTTGCGCAGTTCCCTCAGGCCAGCAAGCACATCTCCCCTAAACCCTAAACCCCAGCTGCGCAGGATTTGGTTCCGCGGTTGCACGAATGGCTTTGATGATCAAGACAGCTCAACTTATAGGTGCCCTAGCCATTCCAACAGCTATTAACGTAAGTTTCTACAGTTCAGGGGGGCATCGCAGCATAAGGACATGGGGTTTGAAGAGCTGTGGGCCTAGGAGCAGGCCATGTGCACGTATCTGTGTCTCTGGTTCAAGGATTTGAGAAGCATAGATACTGATTCCAAGCCAAGAGACTAGGACCCAGCGAGCCCAAAGTGCAGACAGCTGAAACCTAAACAAACAGCCCTAGACAAAGACAAGATTTTGAATTTGTAGCCTATCTAGTACGCAACACGAGGGTGAGAGTACTTGGGCTCTGGGGCCCCCTCATGTAGCCCTGAGCACACAGATCCTGAACCTGACTTCGTGTACGATTCCCAGACAAGACTGTTGAACACTATGCAGAAAGGCATCGAAAGGGCTACAAAGGAATATCCGTGGAGGATCGCGTTGTAAAGCCGCACCGAAACCTCTGAATATACATGCCGTATTAGATACCAACGCTGGTTCCGAAAGTTAGTCTCAATCAGCCATGCGCCGTCCCCGACTGGTTCTGGCACTGGCTCTGGGACTGTCACTGCATGCGCGGGGTGAGCCCTGCCAGGCCGCTGGATGTGCGGTTTAGGGTTTGGGGTTTTCAGCTTAGGGTCAGGGTGTTGGGATTTAGGGTTTAGGATGGGGATTTGAGGTTGTTTCAGTGCTTAGGTTTTGGGGGCTTAGGATGTAGGGCTTCAAGGGGTTGCTCATCCCCTGCTTGATCCCGACAATCCCAAGAAGACCTTCGGAGCCCTCACATGGCAGTTTGCTCAAAGCAGTGGTTCTTGGCGATCATCGTGGGGTCCGCTGCTTGGGGCATACAGGGTATAGAGTTTAGGGTTTAGGGCAGAGGATTTAGAGTTTCCTTCTTTGTCGGAAAGTTGAGGACTGTTGGGAAGGCATTTTTTCAGCAATACGACCTTGCTGGATGTTTCCCTGGGAGAGCCTGGCCTAAACCTTACTATTACTTAGTTTGATAATATTGTTGTTATGAGCAATATGTTTTTTGATATGATGCTGCTAAAACTTCTTGTGCTACTGAATGATTAGGCCAGGTTTTGCGGCTAGACGTCTCAAGTAATCATCGTGATAATGATAGTATCATTGTAGTACTAATACTCATGGAGTAATGGTCATAGTAATTGCGTGTAAGGCTGAGAAAGGGATGCTATACAGGATGGCCCAGGCTTCTGCATTAGGTATCGAAGGTTTTGGTGTTACTTGGAGGGTCAGGTGGACTTAGTAAGTATACAGATAAGCCCCATAAGCCAAAGAGTAACCACAATTATCCCTATTATTGACCTACTTACTAAGTCCCCCTGACCCTCCAAGTACTTACTTCATACCGACATGGCTGCGAAGTAGGAGGCCGCACAGCTGCGAGATTTTGGCCTGCCGGATTTTCCATCGCCGTGGTTTTGCCTACTTTCTTCTCACCCCTCAGCCTGCACTAGTCATGTACTAGGAATAGATGAGGACCCTAATATAATCCTTATTATGCCTTATACTCGGGGGAGGTCCACCTAAGATCTAATGCGAGTGCGAACTTACCATCCTAGTTCAATCTGGTGCTAGATGATTACCTCACCAGCCTAAGATGGGGTTAGGGGCGCTACGTGGGATTCCACATGAGCTTAGTCTAAGCATATAAGGCACTACTATTGGGGTAATTAAAGGGGACACTAGGAGTTTAGATTATGGCTCATATCAGTCTCAGGGAAAGTATACTTACTTATGCTTAGTTGGGAATGTGGAACTGGGTCAGGGTTTGGACTGCTGTAGTTGAGTAGTATTTTATTTGGGGATACTATGGTACCCAATATAGAGTAAGATTATATCCTCCTTTTGGGGTATAGTAATTTATATAAGGAATAGAATCTTACTAGGTTTAACCACCAAAAAAACACTACTCAGTCGGGGATCCAGTCCCTCTCAACCACATATAGGAAGTACCTGTACTGCTCACTCCACCTCCTCGGTGTAACACGCCCCTCCCCATGACATTACATGAGCTGTAGTCTAAACTCCTTAAAGGGGGATATATAGGGAGTATATGGGGTTCCTGTTATAGGGCTTATTCAGAAGGATACTAGGAGTTTAGACTATAGCTCACATGTATCCCCGATGCAGTAAAGTCTCTTGCAAGGAATATCCAAAATTAGTGGCAGGGGCGGGGAGGATGTGTAACAATATAAGGGGGAAAGGAATTACTGTAGCTGAGGACAGAGTTGGCGAAGAGCCGGTGGTGCAGTTCACAGCTGAGGACGAATTTGGGGGATGGTTTTGGGTTGCGGACCTACCACGGCTTGAAGAAGCTTTCTGAAAATTTCATATACTGGTATTTGTCCCTTAAGAAATAGCTGGAACCAGAATTTCTACCCAAATCAGGGTTTCAGGGAAGGAGCAGAAATTCCGAGGTTGGGGTATGTTCTCCTCCTCCTCCTCAGATTCATACAGGGACCTTAAAGTCCTTTTGGGTTTGAGGACTGATCTAAAGCTCTGGTTTAGGGTTGAGGGTTTACGGACTTTCGCCACAGCATGCCACAAGGACCGCCAGAGTTTAGAGAGCTGAGAGAATTCCAAAAACTCCCTCCTGAAGCTCCTTTGTCTATACGGTGTCCCTTTAGGAGGGTTACCTGTCCACCAAGCGGTTCTGGGTTCAGAAATTTTGAGCCACTTTTGGTTGGCTCTTTTAATAATTTGCTGTATGGTCTAGGGCTTAAAGGATGAAGATGAGCCCAACATCATGCGGGTCTGCGGGCAGGTTTATTTGTGAACGAGATCAATCTACCATCTTCAGGAAATTCAACGCTGAAGGCCAAACTTTGCCAGATGCCATTCACAAATTTAGCTCTCTGACATAATGAAGCTGGGACCCTCAGCTGGCACACACTTACATCCTAGGCCTTAGTGGCACCATGGTTAACTGGAGGTTCACAACCCTGCGTCGCAGCCGTGGTGGTCCTCAAATTTCAGCTCCCTTTGAGGCCTCGAAAAGCAATGCTTTAAGTGAGGCCTCCCCTTTCTTGCGTCTTGTACTTCTTGTTAGAGGGAGACTTCTGAAGTCCTCCCGAAAGGCAACTTTTCGGAAATCCAGCCGAACTGAGGGCTCAAGGGTTCCAAGCTCTGGGCACCAAGAGGGAGGTCGGCTGCGGAATCGAATTTCAATTTGGCCCTGAAGATAGTAACAGCCAGACCTTGCACTCCTTCCTCGGATCTTTCACACATCCCTAAACCGACAGTGGACGACAACTCCAAACCCCCAACCCAGTCTGAGACCTTGAGCGCTAAACTCGCTGAACTGTCAGCCCTTACACTTGAGCCAGGCGTGCACTTGCTGCTATGACCTGGATGAGTTCATCCAGGACCAGTTCAGAAGGTCTGGAGGTCGTCGCATCATAGGACCCTTCTTGAAGATTCCTGAAGTACGGGCCACAGCGGTGCTCTTGCCGGAGTATCTGGGGCACTGAACTGTTGAGGCTGAGTTTTTGTTTTGCTTCTAATTCCCAATGTCTAGAAGAGACTTCTCACCCCCGAAGGGGTAGACAGGAGGCCTCAGTTATTTTGTGCCTCCAGGACAATGACTACGTCTACGTCCTCTTCTATTCCCAAAAAGGTCGCACCCTGCCTTGTAAGTTCAGGGGCTTTGGTGCATGGTCTAGGGAGCCTCTGATTCGAAATTGGGGTTGAGGGGTCTTACAGGCAAGGCCTACTGGGGCTCTCAAAAGTCTGGTGTGATGCCTAGTGGATGCCGTGCAGACACTTGGCGCTGGCCGTGAAGTTTGCCAGATCCTCTCCAGGTTCCGGGTTAATCCGAAGGTGGCGCCCAAGTTGAACTTCAACTGCACGTGGCTCTCAATGCTAAAAAAAACAAACCCTATGGGAGATTTCTGCACAGCTGTGAGTTTTGTGGCTCAATGCACTTGTGATTATCTCGCAATATCACAGTTTCTCGAGGTGGGCATACAGAGAAGTGCAAAGTGTTCAGGTTGGGCTGCGTGACGGGTTTGGTGTTGGATTGGGGCACTCTAAACCTTGAACCCTAAACCCCTAGTCTTAGATAGATTGTTCATGGGAGATACGGAGAGGCTTAACAAGAAACCTAGCCTAGCACTGTCCGCGCTGGCGGGTGTTCGCAATCAAGTTTGGCCATCTGGAGATGCCCAGAAGATTGTGTCGACAAAGACTACGGAGCCGTGCCCAAACCATGGGCTGACCTAGCCAATGGAAGAGCTTTTAGGCCTTCCTTATTTGGTCTTTATATTAAAGTTTGAACTTTTTTAACCCTGGTTATTGGGGAAGAGAGTAGGCAATCCCATGTAAGCCACATTGCCAAGGACTGTAGTCTAGCTTTGCCGTGTTAGTTTTCAGGAAGCCGTTAATCAACAACAGGGATACCCCTAAGTTGATGAATTGAATTTATGAGGTTTTTTTTACGGGAAGGGGTGCAATCCTTGGAGGGTGTAAGTCAAAAAATGGACCTGGTTCTTTTGCAAAGCCACAACCGCCTCAATTAAGCAACATTGCCTGAGTCAAAAGATCTAAGTACGGCCTCAGGTACGTTGCTCACAGGCTGTTGTAGGAGTGTTGGGTTCTCCGTCTACTGAGGATTAAACATCGACATTAGCGCCAAGTTCGAGCAACTGGCTTCTGAGTGGAAATGGTCGCGGATCCACTTTGGACGCATCGACGTCGACAAGGCCTGGCAGTCTGGCAAGCGTCCACAGAATTGAGGGCATGCCAACATTCTGAGGAACCCTGCTAACTGGACAGTGGCTTTGCAAGGACAAGCAAGGTGTTGGAAGGGTTTGGATGAAGGACATCTGTGCCAAAACTAGCTACAAACTAAGGAACCTGAACCGCAAACGAGCCCTCCCTGGATCCGCATTTTTGTTCAGTTTGCTTCATGGTGCGCGGAAAACATGGACACTCCAACAAACATGGAAACCCAACAGTAACCAGACCAAAGCTACTTTTGGGGGAAGGTAGATATTGTCTACCCATCTGACATCTTCCAGCATCCTTAAACAATCTGGGTTTTGCATATGCGCATCGTGCGCTTCCATGAGCATTCCCCGAGAATAGCTGACGTGGCGAGGGCCGGAATCTCCCCTGACCTAACAGGGAAAATTTGAAAGCCTAGGGCTAGGAGGCCACTACGGGAAGCAATTGGGTGACACAAGCCCTCATGCAACCTGGTGTTGGTAGGTAAGTCCTTGTCCCTGGCAGGACAGAGAAATGTCCAAGAGGTGGGTCGAGTCCAACATGGTGCCGACAAATGTCATGCAACTCGGTGGGTCGCAGCTAGTAGATTTTTCTACATAGAAATATGTTGAATTATGCCATCTTACAGCAGTTGCAACAGCGTCAGTAAGAGTGCGAGGAAGCGGCTATAAGCGGCTCGACTTCTGTCCTGCCTACAACTATGACCTGCCTACAGTCTGTCCACAGTCCCCCATAGTCATGGTTATCGATGATACTAGTGGTTGGGAATGAACCCACATGGTAGAAGTGTACATGAGCATGTCGCAAAATTGTGGGTCCCTTTTGGGAGTTCACATTTGGGGAAAGCGCGGTGTTTGTTGGGACATCTGCATGGGGAGTTCTTTTGAGGAGTCTTGACACTGAGACAGCAGAAGCCATATGAGCCATAATTTAAACTCGTAGTATCCTCCTTAATATCCCCTATGGTAGTCCCCTATATAACACCTTTCAGGAGTTTAGACTACAGCTCATATACAATGTGATAGTAACAAACACTATCAAGCTGGGGAATAAGCAGACAAACTGAAGCTGACTGTCCCGAACCGATGTAAGAAACAAAGTTGCAAGCATCAAAGCAAACACCTCCCGGTTCTGGTAGGACAACAACTCCTGGGGTTTACTAACATGGCACCTCATGTAGACAGTAGTCTCGAAGGTGCCCCTAAATCCCTAAACCCTTCACCCTAAACTCTGAAACCCTAAACCCTGCAAGACCTTAGCCGCGCCTGCACTAAACCCTAAGCCACATCGGAGTTGAGAACAAGCCCTCAGGTATAAGTTCGGCCGCCCTGTGGAAGTGAAGCCCAAGGATGGACCTTGAGCATGGCAAAGTCTGAGGATTTCCTGGGTTGCTGTTAAGGAACTTAAGCAACGTTACCAGAATGAGTATATGAGCTATAGTCTAAACTCCTTAAGGGAGGGTTATATGGGGGATTATATAGGGGACTACCATAGGGGTTATTAAGGGGGATACTAGGAGTTTAGACAGTGGCTCATATTTATATATATATATGTAGTAAGCAATAGGGGTTCCCCAATATAGTAACTTAGATTAGGTTCCTTAACAGCAACCCAGTTTACTGGTAGTCAGCTAAATGGGTGAATGGACCGCTACAGTAGGTGGCAGTCCGTATAGTCTGAATACTAAAGGGGTTATTAAGGGGTATGGAGTTTAGACTAGGGCTCATGTCTTTTCTATGCGTTTGTTCCAGCACGGCTAGGGCTATAATCCTTTGGGCTTTGGGCGGAGAAGCTGAAGAGTGGGCGCAGAAAGGTGGAGCAAAGCTTCGAAGGGCCTGGGCTGAGAAGGGGACAATGCAAGTTCTGGCTTCCGTCCATCTTCCCAGTATCTGGTCAGAGCCGACAGTCATCAAGTCTGTGATTATGTTCAGTATCATTTGGGGCCCACTGCTCAGGTCGTTCCGCTGCCCCATACTTTGCCACAGACCTCCATGACAACAAGGGAGTTCTTCCTTGGACCTGATCCATGCCCGTAGAATATGTGCTCTCCCGATGATATCGGCAGCAGTTCCTTTGAAGGATGTTTAACTGGCTGTACAAAAGTGATTCCTGGACTCCAGAAACTGATGCAAGAGTCAAAGTACCTGGACTATCGCGCCTTCTCTCAAGGTCTTCTCCTATGAAATGCACAAGTGCCCAAGGTTTGAATTATTGAAGCCTTTGAGAAAGGTAGGACGCTTGGAACGGGTTCAGCTCAATCTTCTGGTTTGCCTGCCCCCCGTCTAAGTAGCCACAGGACTTCGAGGTCATCCGAGACAAGAACCCAAGCTGCACAGTCATGTGAGCTATAGTCTAAACTCCTTAAAGGGGGGGCTATATAGGGCCTAATTTAGGGGATTATATAGGGGACTACTATAGGAGTTATTAAGGGGGATACTAGGAGTTTAGACTATAGCTCATGCGATGCCCTTTTTGTGTCCTGGGAGATCTTGAAAATCTGTCTTGGGTACTGCAAACTCCGCGAAGCAAAGTGCATGTTGTTTACTTGCGTGCGACGAAGGGCAGACAGGGAGAATGCCTGGGCTCAGGGGCAGAACGCCTCATTCCTCAATTAAATTCGCAGGCACAATTTTCCAACCCGATAGAGCAAAGAGCCCAAGGTACCAGGGCAGTCCTGATGGGCAGAAGTGGATGCTGACCAAATACATGGGGGAAGATGCGGAAGGAGATGCCAGATTCGGGGCTTACCCTTCCAGTGTCCTTTCGTCACGGGGAGCTTTATCAAGTTCTGGTTTGGAGGAGAATAGGGCTGCGATTTGTAGCCTCGCAGTTGACACAGCTGGCTAGTTAGTTCCTGAACCTTGGAGCCAGGCACCGCGCTGGAGCTGGTCACTTGAGGTGGGGATATTATAGTGCCTAATATACAACAAGACTATGTCCTCTCTTGGGCTATAGCATTCTCCAAGGAAGATTATATTCTTCCTTTTTACAACGACCAAAAGCCACCCTCACTTGAGGAACTTCTGTTACAATTCTTGAAGGGCCCATAGAAGTAGCGGATCCCTGGAGCACTCTGCCTACTATAGACCTCAAAAGAGATACTGGCAATTCAGGCCACTACAGCACGTGTAGCACTCTTTCTAGCATAGTCCAGTAGCTTATTGCGTGGAGGCTCATGGGTAGTTATAACTGGGGCTGCAAGTAGGATGCCTTTAGTAAATGACTATAGTCTTATCTTATTTGGAGCAATAAGAACCCCAACTGAAACTACCCGTCAACCTCCACGTACATTCGTTTCAATTGGCTCGCTCGCAACTTCTTAAACCTCAGCTAAAACTGGGTCGTTGTTGCGTACATTCTTCAAAGAAGGGTAGGATTGGCTTGTCTGGAGTAGCCCTACAGGGAAACACAAAGGCCTATGACCTACTTTGAGGCAGTCAGGCGTTCTCTGCAGGTCTTTAAGCTAAACATTGATTGTATAATCGAGCCCTGGTCGCAACCTCACCCACTACACATGAAGTAAAGATGCTAGCATGTATAGTCCCCCTTAAGTAGATAGGATGTTATTATCATTTACCCACGGCTAATATTTTATCTACTCAAGGGGACTATAGGCTCATAGCTTCACAGGGATGCAGGAGATCTTGAGAGGGGTGTATATGGGACTGGAAAGGCCATCATTACTATTGGTATTAGTATAATTATGATTACCATTATTGTTACTAAAGTTTTTTACTATTATTCTTACTACTATGATTATGACCCTCATCAACTGCATCTAAGCCCTGAACCCCTAAAACCTTAAAGTGAAGCGCTCCCCACGCCCCTGCAAAACCTGTAATGTGCAGGATCCAACCTCCATTATGCAACCACCCTCATCTCCCAGAAGAAGTACAACAAGTTTTTGAAGAACAACCAGGCCGGCACGACAACTTCTGGAAGCTCCTGCATCGGACCCGACACACGTGTTCGGAGAGCTTTCGATCGATTGTGACCCTGAAAAGTAAAGTTGATGCAGAGTCTCGGGTATATGCATAAATCATAGGAGGATTAGGAAACAAAATGGGCGTATAGTATTTACGAAACTTGGTTGGACTGTGAGTGGAGCCCTTTATTATAGAGTCCAAGAAAGGCGAAAAAGGCGATCCCCCTCAAATACCCCAAGCTAGTCCAACCCTTGTTTGAAGCACGCCCACGTACGAATTCTTTAAGCTTGTGGAACCCTCCCACGGAGCTGTCAGGTAGCCATCATCGGCTACTTTAGAAAGGAAGGCGACCGAGAGCATCGAGCCCCTGTTCTGCTTTACCTTGAACCCGAACACCCTGCTATAGCAGGATTGTTCCAAGCTCGGGCTCCTGCCACATCTGGCAAGGGGAGTTGGGTAAGAATGTTTATAGTATTTTGGTGTATATGACAGGGATCCCTGTGTGTAACAGACCCCTGTTTGGATGTTAGGGAACAGTTCATGAAGACCCAAGAAGCAGAGAGGCTCAGAGACACGACAAGCCCACAAGCTCTACGCATGCAATGTGGGGCCAGGATAGTCACTGAGTTTGTAGCCCTGTAAAAGTAATAGTCCGATTTGCATGGGAAACCTCCTCTCATGGGGGCTTCCAGAAGTCAGGAGTCTTTTCCTGAATATGTATATTGAGTGCCTCTTAATTACATGAGGCGGGTGATTCGCCAAGGTCTTCCAAGAGGCCACGTGGAAGCTTTTCCAGGGCGAGAACATGGACACAGACGACATAGGTGGGGGTACCTTTGGGATGGCTTAAAGGGGATGAAAAAGGGTTTGAGGATGAGGGTGTGGGCTTAGGCTTTGAGGTTACTCACACTGGGGAGCCCCAGGAAGTCCAGGGAGGAAAGAGGATTATGAAGAGCCTTGTTAGGGATCATTTTCCAAACAGGCAGACAAGTGGATAAAGATGAGTAGTTGATCCTATGTATTCCCTGGTTTTCATTTGATTCTCCATGATCCCAACGTAACCCCAATATATCCCCCAATATGAGAGTATTTGAACTTGTTCCAAGACAGGTACACAGACAGAACAGCCAGCGCCGCCGCCTCCACCACGATGATGATTGTATGATGTTGTTGTTTACAAAGGAATGATAGTACAGACAGACAACACCCGCAGGGGTTTTAGAGTCGTAGCCTCTTGGATGTTCGAGGCCGGTGGGAGATTGAGCATGTTGCCTTCGAACTGAGGCTAATCCTGCGAACAAGATACCCAAGACCGTCCAACCCCAGACATGAACCCAAACCAGCTCAAAGCAGGCTGAGCTTCATGTGTTTCCCTACAGATTTTCGAGCGTTCAACACAACAGCCTTTTAAGGATTTCCGGCAGAACTTACCTGAATTACAACCTGCAGCCTAGACTCAACCATCAGCCCTCACAGGGGTAGCCAGATGTAAGGGTGTAGGTTCTAAGGAGATTGGAGCTCCTTGTTCTTCAGAAGCAGGAAAGCTTGTCATGAACCCAGCCTTACACGAACGCAGCTCCGGAAGCCCTAGCCCCCTAGTCTCGAGGGCCTCCAATTTTAATTTGTTGCCCAGGAGCCGGCGTTGCATCCGTCTTCCTGCAAGGCGTGTTGCAGAAGGCGGTGAACATTTTTGACGGGTTGTGAGTACAGGGGCAGGTCTCCGAGCTCAGGGCTTGGGGGAGGGTGGGGGGAGGAGGTGGGGGGTGGAGGGGAAACTAGTCACTTCAATGGACAGGCTTCAAACATGATATCCTACACTATGCCGTCCGAAGTGCTCTACTTCTTTTACTTCAAGGTGCGTAGGTAGAAGTAAGAGTATACAGCAGCCGAAATAAGTTTAGATATAGTTGTGGTTGTCCTACTTATCACCCCGTTATGGCGAGCTGAAGCCACAGAGCATACTAACTAACCCCAGGTGTAACCACCCTTCAACTTTCAGGAAGGGAGTCTTAAGGGCGCGCTACACAAGCCAGGGGACCTGAGCGAGGCCTGCGAAACCTAACTTCACTGAGGAACCTCCACCCGCCGATTTGCTTTTCAGACTCTGCTTAGCATCCCAGCACGGTTATAGGTGTCCATCTGGCTCCACAAGCACTTGCACAAAAAAAGACGCTAAATGTTATACAGCTTTCTTAGGGGCACAGCGTTTGGAGGGAGACTTATCACTGCGGGCCCCATGAAGGAGGTACAGACCCCTTGAAAAGAGGGAATATGATGTTCTCATGGAGGATCAAGCGTTTGCGACAACCCTACGGAAACAGTCCCCGTTCATAGGACATCCCTGCCCATAGCGTTGAGCACTCAGCTTGGCCCACGTGAAAAACTTCGAATACAGTTTCCTCGAGAAAGCTGACAAGCATTGGAGCACTGGACCCTGGCTTTTTTGACCAATCATTTGGATTCCTTATACACAAGCTCTGCTTTATCCCCATGGCTCATGACGACAGCTAAGAACAATGATACTACTGACCTTCAGACGTATGCCCATGACAGAAAAGCCTTTGGGTCACATGTTTTTTGATTGTTTGTCCCAAGCCTTAAGGCGCACACTCCGACCATACACGTTGCCCTGGATAGACCCAGGGGTCCGCTCGAAACCCCCCCAAGCTAACATGGTTCCTCAATAGGCCCCTGCACAAGCGACTGTCCTGTACACAACTTTTGTATCTGAGTTTCTCAAACTTGAGGTACCCAACAGCAAGCTAGGAACATGTCGAGATTACAAGAAGGAGGCTATTCGCGGATCAGATGGAATCATCGTGACAAACTCCTATATGGGCTTTCGTGCCAGCTGTGGGAAGGATGCCACAAGCAATGAAGGCCAAAACAGGGTTTCTGGAAACTGGCACATGGGGCTCTGAGTAACGTTGGGGATGGTTGCACCCTATAATCCTTATCTACATACCTCTATAGAATCCCGAAGGTTCCATGTTAATTATGTAAAGTTTACATCCTACACAACCCTAAGGACTGAATCCTACACCACGCTTGGCTTTGGGAAGAATACTTGGAGGGTTAGGAGGATTCAGTAGCTCTACATATAACCCCCATAAGACATATACAATACTCCCAGTTATCCGGCATCGCCATTATTAACCTGCTTACTAAGTCCCCCACGTCACACTTCAATTAAGGAAGATATTGGAACTTGTACTAGAGTCCTTGGTAGCGATTGAAGTATGTTACCCTAGAGCCTAAACCCTAACCTTGAGCCATAGACTCTGAACTTCAAGTCACAGACGCTTCTTGCAGGCGGGTGTGAAGGCTCCCATGCTGCAAGTCTTCGTGGATGGGAAGGCCCCGGCGCATGATTAGTATGGTGAGTTTGCTATAGGCTTTAGGGCTTGGGCTTTAGACTTTTTAATAGGTGGATGTTTAGTAGGGGATTTTGGTGTAGGCTTTAGGGCTTAGGCTTTAGAATTTTAGATCAGTACGGGGATTTGGGGAGTCATGTGATGGCTATAGGTTCATAATTGGGGTTGTGGTTGCCACACTCTCTCATTCATGCGAAGAGGAGTTCAGGGATTCGGTTTTAGGGATGCAAGCTAAGGGATGAAGGTTTAGGGTTTTGGGTTTAGGGTTTAAGGATTATAATAGCTTACAGTCCCCCCTAGGTAGATAGCATATGGAGTTTATGGAGATCTTATTATAATATACCCAAAGCCTCATTCTATCTACGAGAGGGGGATTATAACCCCTATATATACCCTACTATGATATAGTAGTTTCCATTTTCTTTTCCATTGTTCCCTATAAAACCCAATAATATAACCAATATTCTATCAACTAGAGGGGGACTATAGGCTTAAGGGCGAATTGCTTGGGGATGAGGGTTTGGGGATGAGGGTTTGGGGTATGGGATTTAACAGTTAAGGCTGTGGTTAGAAGAAGCCAATAGTAGGGCAATCCCTAATGTGGGAACTCAGAGAGTGACCCGGAATTTTTGGAAACCCCCTTAGTATCAACAACAACAACGGAAAGGAATCCGCAGATGTTCCTGTTGACAAAAAGAACTCTCATGAACCAAAGAAGACTTGTAGGAGCCCTGCGAGGACGCTCCAACACTAAAGAATAAACCTGCGCACGAATGATTTTGGCAGCATGGGATTAATAGGCTGGGTAGAAAATACTTAAAATGTAATTACCAGATGACGTTACACAGTTATTTTGTACTCAGCCTAGCCCGTTGCCAAAGCGCATCTGCGATTTCCTCCCACCCTTACATAGTGTTGAGGGAAGAGTTCTGGCTGGTACCTTGCGCTTGCAACCCAAGAGCAATTACATGAACACTTTCGTTCCTTCGCGTCAAGGACATTGCTTTATCCGCCGTCGTAAGCGCATGCCCCAACTGTGTGAAGTATTCAAGATGTACCGCGGCCCCAAAGCTGCCTGGAAACCCCAACAGCCCCCAGAAGTCCCCGAAGTACTCTTATAGCGTGCAGTGTTAGCCTTGCGTGTTCCCATTCAGCAAGCTTCAGAGCCGCCAAAGCTAGTTGGGAGCGGCTTGGGACTAGTCCCCCCCGCCCACCCTCCCATCACCATCCCGGGTGTTGTATTTCCGGGCCTGAAAAAGCTAGCCGCTACACAACTTAAGTTACAACCAATACACTCCCCAAAACTAGCAAGGGCACGCAGATACCTCCCTGTTAAAGGAGCTGTAGTCTTGATACGGCCTCCTGGGAGTTGCATGTTAGTTCCCATAGGTAAGTTATAGTCAAAAGATAAGCAAGAGGAAACGTAGATGGAACATGAAATGGATCTGGGATTATCTAGTGGTCGACAGGTACACCCGAACTAAAACCAGGTTATATCCAACAGCCTCTGAGAATCATTATAATCTATGTAACGCCATTGTTTCTTATAGGCCTATGTCGTCCACAACCCAGCCGGAATTAATTCCTCCTCACTCAAGAATACCCTCTGAAGCCTCTGAGGCCATCAAATCTTATACCATTTGAGATGTGGAGGTTTTCGGTTTGGGGCTTAGGGGCCTGGCTTTTTTAGACTTAGGGGGCTTGGGAGGTCACTGAGTGCGAGGCTTAGGGAGATTTAGGACTGAGGGTTCCCCCGGAGATTCCTGGATTCAAGAGTCCGCTGCAAAGGCTGTAAACGACATGGCCAAGACCGCGCTCCCGGAGTGACTCGACCTCATGAGTATAGGGTTTAGGGGGATCCCCAGATCAACCTTCACCACTACATTTTTCTTGCAGGGTTTCTGTCCACCTAAAAACTCAAAAGCCCAGAACTCTGAGAAACCCCCCAAGAATCGCGTTTAAGGTGTGGGGCTGGGTGCCGTTCCGTTGTAGCTTGTGTTTGCCGCACAGACGTCTCTAGTGATTAGACCCAACCATCAAACTAAAGTTATGGAAGCCCAAAGGGGGCCCCATAGTAGGAGACCTTTTGGGACCTTAGGGAGCCTTAGGGAGGCCTGACAAAAGCTTAATTATGGGTCCCCCAATTTAAGGGGCCCCCTTAAGGATCCCATAATAAAGACCCTAGACCCTAAACCTCTAAACCCTAAACCCCTAAACCCTAAACCCTAAAAAGATGAGGAGATGGACAGTCCAAGCTGTGATCGATTTCGTCAAACAGCAGCTCGGCTCAGAGTTTCCCCGGGCGGTGACCTTGGACACCTCCCTGTTAAAAAGGAGTTTATGGGGACCCCAAAAAGGGAATCCCAAGAATATATTCGAAATGGAACAGGATATAAGGACCCTGGTAGGTATATTCCACCCTAAACCCGAAACCTCTTCTACATTCTTGGGGATCCTTGTTTGTGGTTCTCATTAGACTTCTTTTACTGTTCTGGGCTTTGCAGACGGACCATTTTTATACTTTATACTGGAGCTCCTGGAAGCCCCAATCATATCTACACTTGGATCTCCTGCAGCTGCATCACGGACTCACACAGATTTGGCTTCTGGAGTACAGCCTGAGGAAAAACAGCCCCTGAAGAGTGGACTTTCTAGTACGAAGGTCACAAGAAACTCAAGCTCCAGCGTTGCAGTAAAAGATCAGCCAGATGCTGTGTTTGATGATGGTTCCTGGGGTGTGTGGACTGCTCATTGTATATTTTCCTTGGAAACTTCCAGATGCTTGTCCAAGTCACTTCAAGATGCAAATTCCAAGCCTCTGTGCACAGCTTGCACTTGAACAAAGTGCTTCATCTTCAGGATAGGGCTTTGGTGAAGAAGGGTTCTGAATTGTAACTGACTTATTATTATAAGGAAAACCTAGTATTCAACATAACATATTGCGTTCCTCAAACGCAACCTCGTTGAGGAGTGCACTTTTGGAATGCTACCAGTGTGGATCTCAGGTAGCGTAAACTCGAAGACCTGTATTTCAAGTCCCGAGTCTTTGCGCCACCCGCACCCCAAGGGGCGATAACGCTTTTGAGTGGGGTGGGCGCATAGCTTTTGGAATGTTGATGATTGTCAGAAGTCTTTTTCTGGGCACGTAAAATTTCAACGCCTGCAATCTCCACATTAAAATCGCTAGAGTCATCCTACATGCCATTGCCGCCCATCAGTAACCTGGCTATAAATGGAATTATCATGCATGTCAACATATGTAACAATACTTGGAGTTGTCCACGACCCTCCATTTCTGTTCCT